CATTCCGGCTCTGTACTAGGTACGCCCCTTAGCTTGTCCGCTCATGCTATCGGAACTCAAAGAAGTCATTACAGACATACCTTACATGGTACGTCTTTCATCGCTAGCGTAACGCAATGCGAAGCTCACAACCATGTCCATCGCAGTACTCGTCCCACGGTCGAATCAAAGGCAGCCAAGTGAAGCCTAAGTGGATCGACTACAAGTCTACTCCCGCGGATGTGGTACGTCACGCGTTCCCTTTTTGCGGTATGATCCTCATCTGTGTGCATCGTGCAGATCTGCTGGAGTGGCTGCAAAGACTCGCAGACCAGCGCGGATACCTGGGAGGCCGGTACAGCGACCGGCGCCATGAGCTATGTGAGTTCCTCGTCCTCGTGCGTTCGAGATCTCCGGCTGAAGCTTACGTTGTTCAGGCATTCATGTCTTCAATCCGTGAGTATCGTGCCTATTGAATGCGTTTGGTGCGCTGACCGGGCATCGTCGCGTCCACAGAGCAGAACCCGAACCAGACGTACCTGGAGCTCCTGCGCGCTATCCGCGTCATCCTCCAGAAGAAGTACAGCCAGAAGCCGCAGCTGACCAGCGCGCACCGGATAGTACGTGTCGATCTCCTCTTGGTGACCTCGCCATGCTGACACAAGGACCTCGACCGCATTGCAGGATACGAACATGAAGTTTATCCTCTGAACTGAGACCGATGGACTCCACGAATCGACTGAATGTGTATTGCTATGTGATGCTACTATGGTGCTTCGACGAGACATATTTATGGCGATGTATGCAGCGGGTCGTAGTGGACCAGAGTAGTATCTTCGGGTGTCGTTGCATTTGGACTTGCACCTATGTACCCTGATACGAGTATCCATGTATACTTCTATTACTGTACAGACATGAGCTAATGAAACCCGGCCTCGTAGTCCGAGCTGGTAACCTACAGAGGTATTACTGATTGCCATCAAAACGCCAAGGTCCGAGGGTTGTTGTTTAGGCTTTGGACACGCTCATCTGACGTTTCTGGATCCGCTAACGGATTAACCACAGCGAGCAAGTACGTGTGTGGAGTATGAGTGCGAGAGAAAGCAACACTCAAAGCAGGTTTCAATGTCCGATTGATGTAGAGTAAGCGGAGTCGGGAACAACTCAAGGTAAAGTAAGCAGGAAAAGGGGAGCAATTAGGAGCGGAGCAAGCAAATTTCGTTCGGAGTGGGAGCTGATTCCGAACCCAAGCAGGGAGCGCCCATGAAGTCTGTGGACCCTGTTCCTCTTGTTCATCTGCTACTCCGTCTAGGTTTTGCGCGGGCTTCTGCTGTTTTCGTCTCCCAGGCTGATGTGGCGGACAACGGCTCTTGGGCCGCTTGTGCTTGCGGTAGTCTTGTCGAGCACGGTCGCTGCGCTTACTTGGGCATCCGTCCATCAAGGGAACGACAATGGTCTACACCTCCCTATACAGCGGACAAGGCGAGGGAGATGGAAGCGGAATGGAGAGATGACTGACACGGGACTTGGCGACGTTCTAGACACGTACGTGCTGTGATCTCTTCTACTTGTTCACCGAGAAACAGTCAACGACGTGTCCCCCAGCACGTACACTGTTCTCGTGAAAATCGGGGAGACGTTATGTCCGCTCATCATCGGTATGGTCTCTCTTTACCATCCGTAGGCGAGTCTGAACGTAGCCCTCGAAGACACTGGCTCTGCGGATCTCTGGACGGCCTCTGACGGGTGCCAAGAATGCTCCAAGTACGGCGTAGCACTCTATCCTCAAGAGTCTCTCTCAGCTGTCGGTCAAGATGTTGATCTGTTGTATGGCGACTCTCGCACGGGGACACATGCAAGCGGTCCGATCGGCACAGACACCGTTGGCGTCGCCGGTCTCTCTGTTCCCGATCAATATCTCGCTGCGATCGTCGACACGAATACATCTGTGCTTGATACTGGCTCCACTGGAATACTTGGACTCGGTTTCCCTCCAGTCAGCGTCATCTGGAGGCAACTTCTCGCGTCCGACCTCCAGGGCCCCGTACCCACCTTCCTCAAGCGAGATATTAACCCAAACAAACAGGATGACCCGAATACTCTTCCATCCTTCGAGTTCCTCAACTCTACTTCACAATCTTGGAAACGTCAAGACGGTCCAACACCCTATGCGTCGCCCATCGACTCATTCTCTACGATCGGTCCTTTCGTTACTCGCCTTGTGACTTTGAAGCTCCTCTCGCGGCCCCTGGTGGTGACTACTCTCCAACGCGACACGGTTTCGCTCAGTGGCAATGCTGGCACTCTCTCACTAGGCGCTTTGCCGTATGGTCTCGCCGACGAGTATCTCACCTGGGTTCCAATCCGAGGCTACAGGCCATCCGAAGGCGGTCTCCCTCCATCGCCAGAAGCGCCGAACGAGGTAACTCGACTTGTTCTTTTCTTTTGTCCGTCTGTGTTCCTGACCGTCGGGTCATTAGGTGTACCCGCTGGTCTGGGAGATACCGATAGACGACGTGTACTTCGATGGCGTTAAGCTACCCCGCTCTCCCCTGTCCCCGTCAACCATCTCGCTTTCTGCGCTCGTAGATACGGTGCCTATCCTCGTTCATACCGGTTGTTCCTCTTTGTCCCTGACGTCGCATGCAGGGAAATAGTCTCATCCGTGGTCCTCAAGATATCGTCGGACACATTTACGCGCTCCTCGGTGACTCCTTCGACTGCTCAATACCGCACAATCTATCCTTCCAGATCGGAGGCGTCCAATTCCCAGTCGACCCGCGTGACTTCGCCCAACCAATGCCCGTCCGACCTGGTACTGTGTATGCGGATGAGGCCGCCCGATGTAGCCCGGCCCTTGCTGCCACGGACCCCCCTCGTCAGGGAGGCTTCCTTTACAGCTGGAGCCTTGGCGATCCCTTCTTGAAATCGTGAGTGTATGCGATTTCATCTGTGCAGGGGTACTTACTGATTGTATGTGCGTCTAGCGTGTTGGTTGCGTTCTACTACGGCAACATCACGCATCCGTCCCAGGATCCGCCCCGAGTTGGACTCATGTCGACCGTCCCATCCGATGCAGGGTCCGCCCTCGAGAAGGCGGTCGCCTCTGCCGTAAACAATGGCGGGATCTTCCCATGTACGTCGTGCCTCGATTTCATCCCCGTCCGACTTGGCTGACCATAAGTCCCGTTTCTGTAGCGGCCTCGGAGCCAGCGCCGTACGCCACCCCGATCGAGTTGCACACCGTGCCTCTTGAGAACGTTTCGCCCCCTATGACCCAAGGTCCGCAGTGGGCGTACAGCAGCGGCGCGGCTGGAGCCGGCGCCGCTGCGCGTGGTTGGACGACTTCGCTGATTCTGGCTGTTCTTGTAGGCGTCCTTGGGCATCTGTACCGCTGAGTCTTGTGGCTCTTGCTGTTGGTGTATCCGCATCTTGTGTTCGTTCGCTGTGTACTTTCTCCCCCCACACTCTAATCATACTTCCCCTCGTTGGCTCCACTCCGCTTCGAGTTGGAGCGGCCTACTGAGTGCGAAGCCTGGATGGTGTTATGTTGCAAATCGGCGTGGTCACCACTCTTCTTTGCGCTGACCTGGGACTGGCTTGATAGGGCGGACTCCTTCGAGGGTGTCCACGTCGAGACGACAGACGGCGTCACCTGGCTGCCATACGGCGTCGCCGAGACACGCGCATTCACCGAGCGGACGGATTGCACCGCTGCTCTCCCGCAGGCTGGCGCTGGGTGCGGTTCCTGTTCAGGAGCTGCGCGTACATATTGATATTCAACTCCGGCACCCCGCGGCCTGCAGTACTGGACGCGACATATGCCGGCCGAACCCCTGGAGGACCGATTGGCTACGCTACTGAGCGGGCTGGTGGAAGGTGTTACAGTGACGGGAGGGCCGAGGTGACGGGAGGGCCGAGCGAGCAGGGTACGCACCTTCATGTCAAATTGTGTCTTGAACGATTCACTGACGGATCTTGCCAGTTTGAATTGGTATGGCGAGTATCGTTGGTGGGTCATCCAGTGGCCAACGGTGTTCTGGATTAACCGGGAGCCTCCTCCCCCCTGGACGTCTGATGCACGGCCAAGTCGCTTGTATCCGAGCTCGCGGTCGTCTCTGCTGCGCCTACACTATACACAACGTCGACGTCGCAAGGACGTCGCTTTCCCTTCTAACGTATTGCTCCACGGACGAGGCGACACTTCACCGCAGCCCAGAATTGCTACATTGGCAGAGACAGATGCCATTCGTGCGAAGACGAGCAAAAAGACGAGGAGCTGCGTACTTCTGAGATTCCCAGTGGGAAGGCCGCCAGCAGGGCTCCTGAATTGGGTTGCGCATCGCGGCGCGGAGGTCTCAAGAGGGTCACCCCGGTGGCAGTCTCGTCTTGTGTGAGATTATGCTAGATGCTGATGGAGGTATGTAACATCGTGTACACTCGCCCGAAAGAGAGGCTGACGTCTATCAGACAAAACATTGACAAGTGCTATGGAGTATTGGTCTGTGTCGCATACCCTCCTCGGACTCGGACCCCTTCCCCATACTTCCACGTGGGAAGCTGTTGATGCGGCCTGCCGAACACGGTTCTCCTCCTCCTGAGGAATCCGACTCCAATCAGTTGTACCCTCCAAGGCTCTAACACAATCAACATGGCCGTGAGAGGATCTACGCTATGCGAGAGAAGTCCGCATCGCACGTCGAGACGGAAGACAAGCGTACGGCACGGCCGAAATGTGCGCGCCTGCAGAGACGATTCTTCTTGTTACCTTGCCCGTCGGAAAAAGCTAGGAGCTGCCCCGCTAATAACGGACTTACGAGTGGAGCTTATGTCGCCGGGAGGATGGTGACACTGATGTTCACTGAGCGGCAAATGATCTCCCGCCGCGACGACAAGTATTTGCGGCTGATGGACAATGGCGAACCTAAGTATACCCTCGGCCTCAGGATGTCGGAAAGATTCTTCGGCATGCGTTGCATCGGACATTACAGACGAGAAGGGCTCAGATTGCTTGATTTACATCTCTGTTAGTATATCGGTTAGTACACGCGCCTGTCATTCGTCGACGGTACGAGTGCGCGCGAAAGCGGGGTTCGACTCCCCGACAGAGAGTCCGCAATGTTGCATCGGACATCTTTTTGGCTTTCCTAACCGTTTTCGAACCGTGCTTGCGGGGGCGTACTACTACGATGAAGGTACAAACCACAAGGCAGGCCGCGGAGGGACACGCCACAGACGCGACGCAGGCGGGTCATGTGACCGCGCGACTTTGGTCTGGAATATGCCGAGACGGAGGGGAGACGGTGGGCACAGGTGACCTTGTGTATTCACGTACCGTCATCATCTGCTGGTCTCGCGACAGTCTTCTCGGCGGCCATGGTTTCCGAATTCGCTGCTGGATGTCTCGCTCGACTTCCGAATGCTGACTGGGTAGATTTCCGAATATCCTGTCCAATTCCGAATCACCAGTGACTCCTCGCGGACGCGCCATACGCTGCAGGAACGCCCGATGAAAACCGTGGCGCATCCCAAACCACATCTGGCGACTGAAGGGCTTGCGGGCGCAGCAGCCGGGCGTGCCTACCCCAGATTTCCCCAGACGTCAGATCTGCATACGGATATCCGCCAAAAGGGGTACGCTTCCGTCCCGCTTCCCGTCAGGTGATGGCCTTCTCTGGAGCGTGCAGCGCGAGGGGTTCCGTCTCTTTCCCTCGCCTCCTCCCCCACAGGCCCCGTGCGCCCCCCGCTCTCACCGTTCGGTCCAACTCGGCCATCATCTTTTCCCCGCACCGTAAATACGCCCGACACTGCACTCCACCCCTCTCTCACCTCCCGCCCGACGCTCGTACGACTCCGACCCCGGACGCGCACTTAGGAACGCACCGTACGACCACCACGCCTGACGCTGGTCGGCCTAGTAGTAGAAGATACCATCGCCTCTAGACACCGTTACCCCCAGGTATTCCTTCCACAATGTCCAAGCCCGTAGAGGAGGCTATTGCCCAGCCCACTGCCGTCGCTGCGCCCAAGAAGAAGCAGCCGTATCCATTCTGGCTAGGAGGTGCGTGCTCCCCCTATCTTGTCCACGCCGTGTTGGTGATGTAATCCCTGTGTACCCCAGGTGTCGCCGCGACGATTGCTGCTTCGATTACACAGTGAGTGTTAGCCTCCATCTTGGACCAATGGATGCCGGCGGATTGGTGCTCACCGTGCGCCGCGCGCAGCCCCCTTGACCTCACCAAGGTCCGCATGCAAGCGACGGGCGACAAGGGGATGATCAACTCGCTGAGGAAGACCGTACGCACTGCGGGCGTGCGCGGACTGTTCGATGGCATTACCGGGACGTGGCTGCGACAGATGACCTACTCCATCTGTCGGTTCTGGGCGTACGACGAGAGCAAGAAGCTGTTAGGAGCCAGTAAGTCGTTCGTGATCCATAGCGTAGATCGTAGCTGATCGCTGCTGCAGCTGAGAAGTCGCCGGCATGGGAGCTCGCTCTGGCGGGATGCATGGGTGAGTGGTGAAGCAAGGTGCGATGGATATTCTGGCTCACGAATGGCTCCGTTTATAGCGGGCGGTATCGCCGGCTTCGTCGGGAACCCTGGAGGTCAGTTAAGGCCTGGCCCTTTAAGCTTCCGTCCTCATGTGCCACTCCCCCAGAGATTATGATGGTCCGCCTTCAGGGCGACTTCGCAAAGCCTCCGGAGAAGAGGCTCAACTACAAAAACTCTATTGATGGTCTCATCCGGGTACGCAATCGTCTCGTCATGTGTGACATATTCACTGACGTTCGTGTGTGCCGTAGATGGTGAGAGAGGAGGGATGGTCGTCTCTCAGCCGCGGTGTCGGCCCGAACGTGTTCCGTGCGGTCCTCATGAACGCTAGTCAGCTGGCTTCGTGAGTGGCACGTTCGTTGAGCCATGCGTGTCGCGTTCTTACGCCCAATATAGGTACGATTTCTTCAAGGCCGAGCTCCTGAAGACCGGGGCCTTCGACGACAACATCTACCTCCACACTACTGCGAGTTTCGCTGCGGTGCGTACACCTCTCTTATCGCGATTCTGCTCGTACTGATTCTGCTGCGTTATTAGGGCACTGTCGCGACGACCGTCTGCTCCCCTGCCGATGTCATCAAGGTGGGTAATCGCTCGACCCGTCCATAACACGCGACTGACCCTTGTTTCACAGAGCCGCATCATGACCGCGTCAGGTGGAGAGAGCAAGTCGGCCATGCAGATGCTCCGCACGTCGTTCAAGAACGAGGGCGCGATGTTCATGTTCAAGGGCTGGGTGCCGGCGTGGATGCGTCTGCAGCCGACGACGATGCTCATCTTCATCACGCTCGAACAGTTGAAGCGTCTCGTTGACTACACGCGCGGGGACCTTTAAAAGTCATCCGTTCGCGTGTTCCGTCTGCTTCATGATCAAATATCACGAATCACACCCAATTACACACTTCTATCCGCTCCCGTTGTTTTTGTTGATGATGTCCAATGTTGCGCACGCTGTATCATTGCTGTACTCACTGTCTTTCCTTGTACGTTGCTGGAGGCGTGGTGGAGACCACGGACTATACCATCGCCCTTGCGTTGCTACCGTCCACCTGACCTCTTCCCCAGTCCCGACACACAGGCGCGATCTCACCGGAAGAGGGCAGTGTGTTCTCATGAAGGTGGACATGTCGACATCTGTATCCCGTGCCCCACTCCGCCGTCCCGGTTTCGCCCATGCTAGCTCGACAATCCCGTTAAATCTGTCGCGGTCCGCACGTCCCTGTGACCCGGGCGTCCTGCTCAAGCACGGTTGCACCCGACAGGCTGCTGCAGGTCCTCTGACATCGATGCGGAACGCGCGAGAAGCTCAGGTCTACGCTCGAGGGGGGCTCGAGCATCCGCCGTTGCGTCCAGCCCAGGTCGCTCGAGCAGCACTCGATCGAGTGTTATTGCCCGCCGGCAAGTTCATCGCAGAGTCTCCGGGTGCTCGCGGAGTGTGCTGAGTTTTGCGGAGTACTTGCGGAGAGCTCGGCATCTCCTGCCGGGCCACTGACGGCGGGGCGAGCGGGGCGGGGTTTTGTGAGATTGCAACTGCGCTTCTTTGGCTGCGAATTAGTCATCTGCGATAATAGTTGAATGGGATCTCGCTAAGTGGGACGCCCCCGCATCCTTCCAAGCTCCGTCCCTTGCATCATCGTCTCTTGCTCCTTTACTTCTTTCTCTCTCCTTCTCTCACTACTCACTCACTCACTCTCAACTCTTCCTCTCTCTGCGAGTGTCGCGCGACGCATACAACACGGTCTGTTGACCATGGAGCCCTCAAGTCCGGCCGCGGACGAGCACCAGCGCCAGGAGTCACCGCAAGTGCAGGCGCAGGCCTCGGGACAAGCAGGAGGGTCGGGCGCGGGGTCATCAACCGGCGGAGAGACAAAGACGTCGTCCATCCTGAAAGAGCGGCGGTTCAAGCTCAGCAGGTGAGCCTCGCGCCGCATAATGATTTTAGTGCTTGCAGCGGGACTCATCGTGACTCGGGTTGGGGGGATGCCAGGGCATGCGACCGGTGTCGGTGAGCGAACACACGTCGGCGCGGGTTTGATTGTGTGCGCGGATTGCTGACTGGAGCGTTTCTCCTCTTTTACGCTCTTTCTTTCTTCGCGGTGCGGACAGGCGGCGGAGGATCAAGTGCGACGAGGGCCATCCGTGCCAGTCGTGTCTCACGTCCAACTCGGCGTGCACTTTCGAGGAGCCGGGAAAGCGGACGCACCCGCACAAATCCAAGTACGTACTTCCTCCACTTCCCCCCTTTCACACTCTGTCTCGTAATGCGTGCCTGGGGTTCGTCGCTGCTGCAGAATGTGTGCACGTCCGTTCGAGCACGCTGCACTACTGGTGCAGCCGTCGCGCGACTTCTCCGTCGACGAAGTGCATGTGACAGCTGCAGGCATTGGCGGGATCTGTTGTGTTTGCCGCCTCGAGGGACGGATGTGCCTTCATATTCTTCCATCATTGAATAGACGACCCCGGTATGTGCCTCAGTTACGCGGGTCCACGTCCGATGTTTCCACGGGTCGAGGAACGCGGCTACTTGTGCGGTCCCGGCGTGCGGCATTCTGCCGATCTATGTATGCAGGGGGGGGTCTCGTTACATTTCAAGCGAAGACGGCCCTGCTGTCTGTCTCTCCCCGCATATTGCTACTAATAGCGATCCGTGCATTGGCCGCTGCGATTAGTCCTAGACACCCCTTGTGCTAACCTTCTTCTTCCGTGCCACAGGCGAGCTGCGACCCTGGAGGACCGCATGCAGCAGCTCGAAACTCTAATACAGGCCATCCCTCCGCAGGTGTTCGCAGGGGCGGGTGCGCTCGGCGCTGGCCTCCCACAGTCCCCTGTTGATCCGACGACCAACCCGCACGCGTCCTTTGCATCCTCCACCCACATTTTCCCGACGTCCGCGCCGCCGCCGTCGCTGGCGGCGTATCCGCTCATGAACCCGTCCACGTTCTTCGGCCCGCTGAAGCAGGGGTCGCGCAACGCGAGCCCTGGGACGAGCTTCCACGCGGGGGCGTCGACGAGCATGTCGACGGAGCAGCTGGCGGACGAGACGTCGCGCATGTCCCTCGCGTCGTCGTATATGTACTTTGACGACGAGGGGTACACGAGGTGGCAGGGCGAGACGTCGGGTCTGCCGATCCTAGACCTCCTGGTGGAGCGCCATGCGGTCGTCCCAAAACCTGATCCAGACCGTCCGACCGGGCAGCAGCAGCACTGGAAAGGACAGAACGGTCAGACGCTGAGTGATTGGTTCCCGGATCGCCAGCCCCGACGGACAGAGACGAATCCGGAGCACATCTGGAAATTGATCACTTCGTTCATCGTCCCCGAGCTCATGGATAGGTACGACTCCCGCTCTTCTACGCCATGACTTTCTGTACTCACCTGGGTTGTGGTGCAGCCTCGTCCAGTGCTACCTGTCGACGTCGTACTACCTCATGCCCTTCCTCCATGTTCCAACATTCCTGGCGGTAAGTCCCTCTCTCGGTGATCTACGAAGTCCCCGAGGCACGTGACCAACCTGTCGACTTTCAGGACTACGGGAACCCTCGAAAATGGGGCGAGCCG